TTGTGGAGGAGGCAGGTGGTCCCAGATCCACCCATCACCACAGAGAAGGTGGTGGTGCCCGAAGGAGTCCATGGGGGAAACGTGCATGAGTGTCCAATCCTCTTTAGGGCCATCTAGGGGCACTTCTATTCTCTGCATTCCCAAATCACCGCAGAGCTGCCTCCTGTAGACCCTGTGGCAGTGCTGAACCAGGACAGAGAGCCACCGTGAGGCTTGACAGAGAAGGGACAGAGTGTTAAGGGCAGATGTGCAAGGCGAAGTACAGGGGTTTTCCATACCAACAGATCTGACTTCAAATACTGGATCTTTCACTTAATAGCAGCGTGATCTTCAGGCCTTCAGCAAGTCCAACAGCCTTTCTGAATCTCGGATTCTTTGTCTGTCCAAACCTCTTGGCCTGACTTCCAAAGTCTTTTCTATCTGGTCCCTTTGTACTCTCTACTGCCCCATACTCCCCCTTCTCCCTCCCAGCTCCCCTTGGCGCCACCCTCCGCCCGCCTTCCCCCTCCCTACCCAGACTCTGCTGTCCTGTAGAACTCCTATGTTTACTTTAGGACTCGTGGATTAGAAAGCATTGTACATGTTTAGAAGGGTGTTAGTATTTTCATTGTGATCTTAAGAAAGATGATCATACAGGCAAGCCTGAGTCATGGTAAGAGTTCAATATATAAAATACATAAGTTGCCGGGTGCGGTGGCTCAAGCCTGTAATCCCAGCACTTTGGGAGGCCGAGGCGGGTGGATCATGAGGTCAAGAGATCGAGACCATCCTGGTCAACATGGTGAAACCCCGTCTCTACCAAAAATACAAAAAATTAGCTGGGCATGGTGGTGCGTGCCTGTAATCCCAGCTACTCAGGAGGCTGAGGCAGGAGAATTGCCTGAACCCAGGAGGCGGAGGTTGCGGTGAGCCGAGATCGCGCCATTGCACTCCAGCCTGGGTAACATGAATGAAACTCCGTCTCAAAAAAAAAAAAATAAAAAAATAAAATAAAATAAAATAAAATACATAAGTTAAATAGCATACTAGGAGCCCAAGCCATGTCAAAAAGCAGCATATGAAGCTGGGTACAGTGGTGTGTGCCTGTAATCTCTGCTACACAGGAGGCTGAGGTGGGAGGTTTGCTTGAGCCCAGGAGTTTGAGAGTTTGAGTCCAGCCTGGGCAACACAGCAAGACCCTGTCTCAAAAAAAAAAAAAAAAAAAAGAAAGAAAGAAAGCAAGCAGCATCTGGTGAGTACCCAGGGAAGGATTTGGAGCGTAACTGCTGTGCAGGTGATGTGCTGGAATGGCTGAGAGGGCTTCACGGCAGAGTGACTTAGCTGGACCTTAAAGGAAGTGCCCTTCTCCTCTAAATTTCAAGCAGAGAAATTCCCTCTGTAACACAGCTTGCAAATAAAATAGATGTTGATCGTCAGCAGGAAAGTTGACTTGTGAATTTTGGACTATCCTAAAAAAGAAAACTCCCAGTTCATAATTCATTCAGTAGAATATTTAGAAGAAAATCTAACTGGTGATGCATTTCTTAGCTTTTTCTCCCACATATTCCCAACAAAGTAAGGTTCCTGTGGAATTTGGCTAAGCTGTCATTCTATTGCTGATAATCTTAATGAGATTGCACAACTAAACATCCAAACCTCATTCTCAAGTTGCTGTATTTCCCCAAAAGGCTTATTTATGACTGGAGAAAGGAATGGGTCCAAAACTACAGGATATAGAATATTTGGTAACTGGTTTCTGGCACTTGAATGAGGGCTGGGGTGGGCTGAAGGGAGGCGGAGGGAGGAGTCTGGAGCTGCGCCCCTCAGCTGGCTGCTAGGAGTGGTGCTGGAGTTCTGGGATCCCTTCTGAGAGATCCTTGTTACGTATTTAGGAGCCCTGTAGCCTCCCAGAGTGATAGGCAGCACCTCCCTATTGTTTTTTTTTTAGATGGAGTTTCACTCTTGTTGCCCAGGCTGCAGTGCAATGGCACGATCTCGACTCACCGCAACCTCCGCCTCCCAGGTTCAAGCGATTCTCCTGTCTCAGCCTCCTAAGTGTTGGGATTACAGACATGGCTACCACACCTGGCTAATTTTCTTGTTCATTTATTTTTTTTAAGTAGAGTCAGGGTTTCTCCATGTTGGTCAGGCTGGTCTCGAACTCCTGATCTCGGGTGATCCACCCACCTCCCAAAGTACTGGGATTACAGGTGTGAGCCACTGCGCCTGGCCAGCAACTCCCTATTTTTGCAGCTGGGTGGAATCAGGGCTTCTCAGCTTGAATTAAATTTCAGGTAGACACTACAGAACCCTCCCCACTCTCCACAGGGTAGGCTTATGGCCAGAAACCAGAGATGCTTGCTTTAATTCCAAATCAGGCTGGGATCCAAATCCCTAGGCTCTCCCATGGCTGGGCACTACAGAGGCTGTGGCTATTCGTCTTGACACCTCTGATGGCTTCAGAATGAAGTTGGTGAGCCAGTGGTCTTAGTTAGGCCTACATGGAGGCTACGGTGAGCAAGAGCCTTGTTTTTTCTCCTGGGTGGCTGGACAGAGGGCAGGGTGAAAACAGAAGCCTCCCCTACAGCCTCCACCTGGACATAACATCCGCCCTCTCCTCGGCACTTTAGCTGCTTCCATTCTCCCACAGTGAACACCTTCCTCCCTCCTTTTCAGTCACCCATCCCTTAAGGACAGGCTCAGGACATAGGTGCTTCATAAAACATTCATTAGTTACTCCGGCCCACTCTACTCTCTTCTTGCTCTGAAATTCTAGAACGGTGTTTCTCAGCTGGGGTCAGAGGTGGGAAATGAATTTGCCCCCAGGAGACATTTGGCAATGTCTAGAGACATTTTTCATTGTCACAACTTGGAGAGTGCTTCTGGCATCGGTGGGTGGGACCATGGATGCTGCTAAACACCTTGCAGTGCACAAGACAGCCCAGCCACAGCACTATCCAGCTCGTCATGCCAAGGCTGAGAAACCCTGATCTCGAGCAGCAGGAGCTGGGCAGTGACCTGCAGCTGAGATCTCTGCCATTGACTCCTGTACGTCTTTTTTTTCTTCTTTTTGAGACAGAGTCTCACTCTGTTGCCCAGGCTGGAGTACAGTGGTGTGATCTTGGCTCATTGCGACCTCCGCCTCCTGAGTTCAAGTGATTCTCCTGTCTCAGCCTCCCAAGCAGCTGGGATTACAGGCACGTGCTGCCACACCCAGCTAATTTTTTGTATTTTTAGTAGAGACAGGGTTTCACCATGTTCCCCAAGCTGGTTTCAAACTCCTAAGCTCAGGCAATCCACCCACCTTGGCCTCCCAAAGTGCTAGGATTACAGACATGACCCACCATGCCCAGCCTCCTGTACATCTTCCATTGCATCACCTGTGAAAGCTCTGTCTCTATAAGACTGTGAGCTCAGGGCCAGTGTCTTCTGCTTAATTACAGTTGCAGGGAGCCAGCCAGCCCTGGGCATGGTGGGCAAGGGCTCTGGGCACACAGGGTGACTGGTGGAGAGGTTGGACAGGATGCTTCTCAAACAACAAACGTGTCCATACTGGTGCCGTGTCAGCAGCAGAACACCAGCCCTGTGTAGGGCTTAAATGGTTTGTGGCTGCATTCAGGCCTTGGGAGAGAGGGCTTGGCTGTTTCTGAAGTGTTTCTTGCAACTTTTGTATCCTTTCCTGTTAAGACTTTTTTTTTTTTTTTTTTTTTTTTTTTTTTTTTTTTTCCTTTTTTGGAGGCAGGAGCTTGCTCTGTCACTCAGGCTCAAGTGCAATGAAGTGACCTCAGCTCAGAGCAGCCTCAAGCTCCCAGGCTCAAGTGACCCTCCCACCTTGGTCTTCAGAACAGCTGGGACTACAGGTGCACATCACCATGCCTGGCTAACTTTAAAATTTTCTGTAAAGACGGTGCCCCACTATGTTGCCCAGGTTGGTCTTGAGCTCCTGGGCTCAACTGATCCTCCTGCCTCGGCCTCCCAAAGTGCTGGGATTACAGGCATGAGCGCAGCCCCATAAGAGGCATCCCGTTATCCATCAACCCCCACCACTAAATGTCAAATACATGAGCTTATGATGTGGTCCTTATGTCAGTTCTTTTCCCTCAGGTAGGGCTGTGAAATCCTTATCATCTACTGCAGTTTGATCACTGGCTGATTATTGGAGCCAATTATCCAGGTGACACAAGGACTACCCCTCTGAGCCTCAAAGCCATGCAAATTTTGGATAAGAAGTAGAGTTAGGTCTATGGCCATACCACCCTGAACGCACCCTATCTCGTCTGATCTCGGAAGCTAAGCAGGGTTAGGCCTGGTTAGTACTTGGATGGGAGAAGTGGAGTTAGATAAAAGGTAGCAATGGACAATGAATTCTGCACTTACCTGAAGCTTCTCAATCAGAGGCGAGCTCTTGACCTTGACTTTAGGAGGGTGGCTCGCACTGGGCGGTGACTTCTATGGAGCAAATCAACCAAAACAACCAGATGAGTAAGGTGAGGGAGGTGGGGTCTGGTTGGAACCCAAAAGCCACAGGCAGAAGGAGAAGAGAAGTTGGTGTTGCCACTTTCTCACTAGTTCAATAGCCCACTTACCTCATTAGGGCCTGGGTGATGTGGACTTTCCCTCTCCCTCCCTCATCCCACCACAGCTAACTTCGACTCAGAATCAGAGGAGTCAGCGCCAACATCCTTAACACAGAAGGTCTCTCCCGGGAAGAGTGACTTCATTGTCGTTATAAGGGAAAACTATATCTGAGCAAGATCTTCACCTCATGACCTTCAACATTGTGATTCAACAATAATTTGGGGACTTTCAAAGATACAGGGTAAAAATGACCATCCTATTTGTCACACACACAAGAAACCAGACCAGGACGACAGAGGTATGACTGGAATTCCTCAATATTTTGGAAAATCCCACCGATGGCATGATTTATAAATTATGATTTTCCAAAGTGTTGAATATTCTTTTTAATTAAGTAAACATGTACTAAGTAGCTACTATGTTCCAGGCATTGTGTGGGTCATACAAAGATGAGCATGATTCAGTCTCAGCCACAGAAGCAGTCCGTGGCTGACGTACGTGCCACATAATCATATGTACTCTCTGTTAGTTGCAGATATTTTTGTGAGGAATGCATGCCAGGAATCTTGTCTGCCTTTGGGATCTATATCCTGTAAAAACATTAACTACATGTTTTGCGTAAAATCCCCACAACTGTGTGAGAATGGTGACAGTGATAGGATGACTTCCATGTGGTTAGACAGAGGCCAAGGCAGAGAAGCGGTCTCCCCATAGTTTGGAGATCAATGTATGGCCTGCTCCTTGACCCCATGTGCTATTTTTCTGAACCATAAGAAGAACTATACTCATTTCTTAGAAAGATTCTGAGATATTATGATGTGAGATGACTGTATTTTACTGATGGAAGGAGGGAGGCTCACTCAACTGAACTCCTCATGATCTTTTTTCAGCCCAGCAGCAAGGGAGAACATAGGCTGGACTCACAAGACCGCAACTCCTTCTAATTCTAGTTTTGGCAGAGCCAGATGATGCCCCTGGCCTCAGCCTCCTCTACCAAGACGCAGCTGGGTGGGAATAAATGATCCTAACGACCCTCGCTGCCTCTGCCGGCCTCCTCTACCAAGACGCAGCTGGGTGGGAATAAACGATCCTAACGACCCTCGCTGCCTCTGCCGGCCTCCTCTACCAAGATGCAGCTGGGTGGGAATAAATGATTCTAATGACTCTCGCTGCTTCTGCCTCCATGTGTTTTCACTGTCGGGCACGTCCCAATAGCAGTCTTTCAAGGAGCCTTTTATTTAAGGTGAGTACAAAGAGCTTCCAGCCCCAATGCGAGTATCTTTAGTTTCTGTGATTTACAGGGAAATTTCATAGAGGCTGGGGTTTCCAGAGAAACTTTTAGAAACTGCACCAACAATTTTGCAGATAAAGCTCACTTCACGTAATACTTTGAATTCTTCTCTTCCCCAATTGACCATTGTCTTCTGAAGTCTGTGGAAATTCAGTGGACCCTGCCCCTTAACTATAGGACAGTACTGGGGACCCAGCTGATGCTCCATAAAATCGGATTGATTTGAACTGCAAAGCAGAATCCAAAATAGCCTCTAGTGCAGTTCCTGGAAATGACAGCAGGTGGCATCCTTTCCTTTACAGTTTAACAAGGGGCTTCAGGCAAGTGGCTGCCACTAACAATTGGTGGAGAAAAACCAGCTTTCCATCCCTAAATACGTATATATAGGTGCATTTTATGACATTCTTACCATGTCTAGAAACTATGGACTAATTTTCAGGTGGGAATGCTTTTCAGACTTTTCTGAGCAGAAGAGGCAGGATCTGTGGCTGCATTAAACACCCTTTTGGCTGGTTCTTCCAGAGAGGGTTAACTAACTCCTGGTCACCCTGCCGGCAGGAGGGGCCATGCAGTCAGCAGGTGCTGGCAGGGGGCTGACCCCACCGTCTCAGACCTGAGCAAGCATAGCGGGGCAGGGATGAAATGACCCTTCCTGGCACTGTGCATTGGGAACTGAGGGGGTAGCCTGACCGGGGCCCTCCCTGCAGGCCCCCAAGGTTCCAGCATTAGAACCTCTGCAGGCTGAGCTATAGGAGTATGGAAGGAGAAATGCAGACAGCAGCCTCCAGTTGGCCCTGCCAGACAAAGCTGGCTGCTCATTTTATTTCTATGTGAATTTCAAGGCCACAAAAAGTCATCGATCCCTGGAGGTAATGTCTTTTCAATGTGCGAGTAACCTGTCACTCCAGACAGGACTTTCTAAAATCCACCCTCGGACTTACCCAGCCCTTGGCCATTATAAGCCATTTAACTTCTGGGTGGTGTGCCCCATGGGATGAAAACTGCGAACGTGTTTCCACAGAGCTGCCAGGATGGAGCTAGTTTTTTTTTTTTTAAGATGAAGTTTCAGTTTTGTTGCCCAGGCTGGAGTGCAATGGCATGATCTTGGCTCACCACAACCTCCACCTCCCTGGTTCAAGCGATTCTCCTGCCTCAGCCTCCCAAGTAGCTGGGCTTACAGGCACGTGCCACCACGCCCAGCTGATTTTGTATTTTTAGCAGAGATGGGGTTTCCCCATATTGGCCAGGCTGATCTCGAACTCCTGACCTCAGGCGATCCACCTGCCTCAGCCTCCCGAGTGCTGGGATTACAGGTGTGAGCTACCACACACAGCCCAGGACGGACCTGTTTAACCCAATCACTAGCCTGACTCCCTCTGCTTTTACTCCAGAGGATAAAATTTCCCCAACCAGCCTCCTTGATCTATCTGGTTAGTGTTTTTGTCCTCATTTGACAAAAAAGAAAACAGATTCAGAATGGTGCAGTGACTTCTCCTGGGCCAAGCCCGGGCTATCAGGGTTTAGTCTCACATTCAGCTCTGAGTGGCCATAGCCTCAACCTGTCGCATAGCAGCAGAGACACCAAGCCTAGAGGATGAGGGTTACAGGGAGAAGCCGATCCTCCGGAAAGAGAAGTTGTTGGTGTGTGTTTGGTCACAGCATTGGCTGATGACTCCATAAAGCCACAGAATCATATTGTTGGCACTTGAAGAGACCCAAGGAAAACCTCAGTGTTTTTAAACTGTGCTCCTTGGGGTTTTTATCCCAGAATAAGAGCCTTGTTCAGGGGGGAGAGGAGAGGGTATCACGAGAGCAGATGGAGCTCCAGGCCTCCCTTCCCCCATCTCACTTGACCAGAAGCAGCGATTAGTTTCTGCTTTACCTCATGGGCTTCTGCTTATAAGCCTTAGGTTGACAAAAAGGCTTGGAAACCATTGATCTACTTCAACTGTTTTACTTTACAGATGAGAAAATGTAGGCATTAAGATGCTTGCCCAAATTCACATAGTGTATCTAATGTCAGGATGCTGGCCCCCCCAAAAGAAGGGGAGAATAAAAGAGGTTGTTGAAGTGGGATTCGGGAATGAAACTGTCTTTGGCTTGCTTCCTCTATTTTGGGGTTGGCCTCCCAGGTGAGATGACAGAACATGCAAATCAATTTCTGGCACAGATCATGGCCATGGTGAAGGTTGGCGGGCTGCTGGCACGAGGCGTGGAGAAGGCACTCCTGCAGCTACAATTAGACAAATAAAGATAGAAGAATATGCAGGCTCCGAACCTATTACTGGCTATGATCTATGATACCAGAGCCTTTATTATATTGTTAACGATGGCTATTTATATCTGAGGGCAATGAGGCCTCCTGTGCGCTCTGGTTTTCTTCCAATGATCCTGAACAATAGCCAGGCTTTACAAGGATACTGCAGAGCCATAGGGTTTTCTCATGCTTCCGTCCTGCCCCATGTAACTGCAGTCCCCTTTCCAGGTGTCTTCTCCATACCTTATCCTAAGATCATCTAAGTCAGACCTGGGAATAAAACAGAACAGTCCTGGCTCCTGAATTGGGTCTGTTAATAATATATGACCCATTCTTTTTACTAAAATGCTCAGGGTCGAAAAATAGTGTTCCTGTCCTTGACAAATCATAAAGGTGGCTCAGTAAAAGGAAGTAGTGAGGAGACTATTTTCCCAAGTAAAGGATTCCAGAAGCACTTAAGAGGAGATTCACTCTGAAGTGGAGAAGTTCCCTGCAGCGTTTGAGCTTTAAAGAATGAGTTTGGTGCCCCCTCGTCCAAGAAGGAGAAAGAAAACCCATCCATCACAGCATCTTCTGAGCGCCCGCAGCAGCACTTACCTCCTCACCATTCTGGCCCAGCTCTACCTTGGGAGGGAACAGGGGGAGGGAACAGGGCGGTTTCCTTCGGGTTGGTTTACTGGCTGGTGTCTGGAGGGAGGATGACAGACAGACACACAGAGAGAAAAAGAGAGAGTGCTGATCAGGCAACAGGGAGGAAGAGCAAGGAAGTGGAAACTGGTTTCAGGAAGGTGTAGGGATTTAGGAGTGTTAGGATGTTAGGGAAGTAGAGGAATATTTAAGAATGGAGGAAGGGAACTGTGTGCCTTTGGGACTGCCCGTTTACTATTTAAATTAGTTCTGTTTGCCATCTACCCATTTTGACTTTCAGCCTCTCTGCTCCATTTCCTTTCCTGCAGTGCCGGCACCTGAGATAATGTTATCTTCTTTTTTTTTTTTTTTTTTTGAGACTGAGTTTCACTCACGTTACCCAGGCTGGAGTGCAATGGCGAAATCTCAGCTCACCACAACCTCCGCCTCCTGGGTTCAGGCAATTCTCCTGCCTCAGCCTCCTGAGTAGCTGGGATTACAGGCACACACCACCATGCCCAGCTAATTTTTTGTATTTTTAGTAGAGACGGGGTTTCACCATGTTGACCAGGATGGTCTCGATCTCTTGACCTCGTGATCCACCCGCCTCGGCCTCCCAAAGTGCTGGGATTACAGGCTTGAGCCACCGCGCCCGGCCGATGTTATCTTCTTTATCCTTTATGACATGGCTATACAGTCTAGAAATTATGAACCCGATTTTTCAGATGGGAAAACAAAAGCCCAAAATAGTGCAACTAAAAATGCAAGGCAAGTAAGTACTCACTTGCCCCAAGGGGCCATGATAGATTTCTCTCCACCTTGGGGCGACCTTCCCTCATCTCACTTCTAATGAGCTCCTCACACTGCATGACTCAAGAAAATCTAGCCCAAATTTCTCCAAAGTTAAGACTCTCCCTTGTCACACTTTCCTTTATTGGTCACTGGACTCTCTTCCTTCCTGATCCCTGGTTTCCTATCCAAATGTGCTTCCCTTCAAGTCCTCTCTTCCTTCTCCATTCTCAGTTGGGAGTCTGCCCCAGCCTTGACTTGCTCTGGCTACAGGAAAGGAGCTGGGTGTAGGAACTTCTTTATTCTGACCCAATCCAGGCCCCGCACAGCTGTGTGCAATCTAAGTCTACATCGGTGGATGATCACGATGGAAATGGATACAGATGCGCATCTCTGATGGACATTGCCCTGTGTCTCATCCCTCCTGGCCAGTGTGTAAGCCTCACCCTGGTGGGGACAGATTCTGCACAGGCACAGCAGCAGTGGGACATTCCTCACATTCAGAAAAACCCCTCCAGCTCTTGGCTTCACTCCCTAATTTGGTAACTACCCAGCCTCCTCCCTCCCTCTCCGCTGGGCCTAACCAGATTTCCCCTTCTCCTGCCCCCTGCAGAAGAGGCTGCTGTGAAGCCTCCTGACTCACCTCCTTGGCTGCAGCCGCCTGCTCCCTAAACCGCCCGGCCAGCTGGGCCACCGAAAGGGACGCTGAGTTGTCCACATTGGCATTGGTCTCTGTCGGTCTTTCCTGGCAAATCAAGAAGCAGCAACAGTTAATCAGCAAATGGGTACCAGGTGCCGACCGGGGCACTTGTTTTGTAGCCACAAGCAGGAATGCTGTGACAATGAGGTATTTTAATAGCATTATCCAACTGCCTCCTGCATTCAAGGACTTAGAAAAAAAAACCATTTGGACAACCACATTTAGTGAATATCTACAATGCTCTTGGCCCTGGGTGTGGCTGTGGGGACCTGGAGGCAAACAAAACCTGGTCCTGTCCTGGAGGGCTGCCCAGGGATTATAGAGGCAGTACAGGTCCGGGTTCCTTATTCCTCAAAGACCCCACCAGCAAAGGGCTATGTCAGCAACAGCATACACATCTCCTTACCTTGTTCAACTCCGGAACAAGGGTGAGCAAATGACCTTTATTGAACTTGAAACACATATGTCTTGTGTTCCCTACTTGAGCGCCGTGGGCAAAGAAGTGTTCAGTAAATATTTGTGGAATTAACAAATAAATGACTTGAGAGCAGATAGCACAGCGGATGGGAGCTAATCTGCCTAGACTCAGGCACTGACTTGCTCCATCTCTTACCAGCTTGGGTACCTGGGGCAAACGGCTTAACCTTTCTGTGCCTGGATGAGGATGGTCGTAGCGCATCCCTCATCAGCTGTTTTATGGATTACATGATTTGCTCTGTACCCAGAGTGCTGGGACAAGGCCTGGCACATCACAAGTGCTTTGGAAGCGCGGTCGTTATTGTTACTGGCAATGAGTTAGGGTTAGGGTTAGGTTAGGGTGACCTCCAGTGCAGGTCATCAGTTTACCATGGCTGTCCCTTCGTCAAGGTGCCTCCAGGTTTCTTGAAGAGGCCAACATGCACCCAGGACACCATTCATTCTCATGCACCATTTGTCACCAAGACACATGGAGTAAGTTGGTGATGCTGGGAATGACCACTTCCTTTCTGCCTTGTTACAGGAGGCCTACACAACCGCTTGCCTTTAATAAGATTTTTTACATGTCCAGTCCCAGAGACATTAGGTTTTTGTTTTTTGTCACCGTGGCGGCAGCATTTCTTACACAGACGCTGAACTGCCCCATCACTTCCCCATCTCCCATCTAATCTGAAAATGGGAGGATTTGGGCAGCAGTTTGTCTAAGGAAGCCCATCTCTGCCTTTCCCTGGCTCTCATGGTCTACAAAAGCAAGGGATGCTTCCCTCCAGCAGTGAGCTTACTCCCTTGTACACACACACACATGCACACACGCACACACACACACAGTCTTCCATGGCCCTTCTTTTATGTTAAAAGTGGTGTCTCTGAGCCTCCAAGCTTTCTTATTTGGGTGTTCCCTCCAAGGTAAATAACTTCAGGCATTCTAAGATGCTGTCCCCTTAGAGCAAGGGAGGGGCAGGTCTCTTCACCCTCCACCAACTTCTGGCAGAGAGGTTAATGGAGCAAAGCTTTGAGAAGAAGACTTTGTCAGGCTGGGCGAGGTGGCTCAGGCCTGCCAAGGCAGGTGGATCACTTGAGGTCAGGAGTTCGACACCAGCCTGGCCAACATGGTGAAACCCCAAACCCCATCTCTACTAAAAATACAAAATTAGCTGGGCGTGGTGGTGAGTGTCTGTAATCTCAGCTACTTGGGAGGCTGAGGCAGGAGAATTGCTTGAACCCAGGAGGCGGAGGTTGCGTGAGCCAAGATTGCGCCACTGTACTCCAGCCTGGGTGACAGGGTGAGATTAAAAAAAAAAAAAAAAGAAAGAAAAAGAAGAAGACAGCTTTGTTTAGAGATTTGAAGGAACTGCTGGGGCCATAGACTTTCTGGTCTGTGAATGGCTGTTCTGGAGGAAAATACAGGTACCCTTTTACTGTTGCTTACTATATAATTCAGGCTTATCTCCATCCCAGCCTAAACAACAAATGCTGAGTTTTGCATAAAGGTATAAAAGGATTCACCGCTATTCAAGATGCCAGATTTCCCCATGATGCTGGGGGAAAGCTGGGGAGTGCGAGGCCCCACCCTGATGAGTTCCCCGCTGGGGAGGGGCTCTCAGACATGACCCATTTTACCCTCACACTTGCCACATAAGGAAGTCAGAGAATGGAACGACAGAGAGCCTTGGGGACAGCGTGTGATTAATTGAGCTGTTCTTGGCAGAGACGCTGGCTGATTGGTTTGTCCATCTGTCTAACTTCCTGCCCACATCACAGACCAGCCTCTCTGTCCCTTGCTATTTATGCTCAGATCCTGCTGACAGTGCGCTTTACCTCAGCTTCAAAGGCGCCAATCACTGGTGGTGCAGGAAGATAAATTCCAGTTAAAAATAGAGCTGTATAGGAATCAAAACTCCTCCCTTACTTCCCTGTCTCAAAACTGGCCTTGGCAAGGGGCTCAGAAGTGAGAGAACTCTGAGGCTTCTGGAAGCAGTTAGGGCTTAAAAGCTGGGTAGAAGGAAAGATTGTAATACCTCTGAGTTTGTTTTCCCGGAGCCTAGTGAATGGGTTTTCTTTAGACGAAGGACTCCAGAGCTTGTTGATGCTTGGCAGCCCCCCTCCACCAGCCCCTCTCCAGACACTTCCCATTCTCTTTTGCGGAAGACTGATTGATTATAACTGTCTGCCTTCTGAGCACACTAAACCCAGAGAAGGCAAGTGACAGCCAGAGTCACACAGGACCGGCCAAACAGGATAATCTGTGAAACATCTGACTCCAACTCCCAAGACTCCAGTAATGGACATCGGTCATGCAGCATCATTTGTGAAAGTGCCTTGGCAAAGGCACTTGGCAAACAATTATCATGAGCCACTGAGTTGCAAAGGTGCAATGGAAGAAGCGTGGTCTTGGGGATGAGCCAGGGCTGGTGGCTCAGACTGTTTGAGGCTTTGCCTGGATCTCTGCCTCGCAGTTGTGGCACGAACAGCTGCTAACACCCCTCTGGTGTGCTCAGCGCCACACCACCTCTGTCACGGGCCAGGAGCCATCTTGCTAAGGCCACACCCTCACCTTGACTGTTCTTAGGTCTGAGAAGAACTTCAGTGTCTACCGATTCCCAGACTTGCCTGAGACACCTTTAGCCTCTCTGGGATTAAATGTTCTTTCTCTGTTCCTGTGATGTCTATAAAGTACTTAACACAGAGCCTGAAATGTAGAATGTGCTTGATGGGGCACAGTGACTCATGCCTGTAATCCCAGCATTTTGGGAGTCCAAGGCAGGAGGATCTCTTGAGCTCAGGAGATCAAGACCAGCCTGGGCAATAAAGAGAGACCGCATCTGTACATAACATTAGCCTAGTGTAGTGGCGTGTGCCTATGGTCCCAGCTACTCAGGAGGCTGAGGAGAGAGGATCACTTGGGCCCAGGTGGCCAAGGATGTAGTAAGCCATGCTCACAACATTGTACTACTGCACTCCAGCCTGGGCAACAGAGATTCTGCCTCAGGAAAAAAAAAAAAAAATCCCAGCACTTTGGGAGGCCGAGGCGGGCAGATCACAAGGTCAAGAGGTCGAGACCATCCTGGCCAACATGGTGAAACCCCGTCTCTACTACAAAATACAAAAATTAGCTGGGCGTGGTGGCGCATGCCTGTAGTCCCAGCTACTTGGGAGGCTGAGGCAGGAGAATCACTTGAACCAGGAAGCTGGAGGTTGCAGTGAGCTGAGATCTCACCACTGCACTCCAGCCTGGTGACAGAATGAGACTCTGTCTCAAAAAAAAAAAAAGAATGTGCTTATGTAAGGTTGATGTAAGGTTGGTATCTTCCTCCTCCTCCTTCTCCCATCTGACCTGGGCACCTGCTCCCAGAGTGACTGACACCCTCAACTCACCCGGTGAACCACACCCAGAGGTAAGTCCTCCCCCTGCCAGCATCCACCCTCTAGGTCCTGGTCATTGCCTTGACTTCAGCCTGTCCTTTCCTCTCGGGTCATTGTCCATGTTAGATCTGTTTTCTGCACGCATTCCGCTTTGTGCCCTGCCTTAGCTCACACTTGTCTTTACAGATCGCAGGCCTGCACTCCAGCTTCCCGGCTCAAGTCTTGCTTACAAAGCCTTCCCCGCTACCTTCCAGCTAGGCTATGCCAGGTAGCTCGGAAACCATGCCTGTGGTTACTGTCTGACTTTGCCAAAGCCAGGAGAAAGTCACCTCTGGTGTTTACTTTCTATTTCTATGGGACTTTCTTCTGAGAACTGAGGAGGCCCTGTGTCTGGACAGCATGGAACTTCCCCTGAGCGGCTGCCATGTTGCGTAAACACTGTTTGGATCCTGCTGACCATCCACAGAATGATATCTTTATGTGCGGGCCAGACGAGGCTCCACCTGCTTCCCAGGCTCTGCGCTGTCTCTCTACCCTCCACGTAGGTCCAGGGTCTTTGGGCTATGGTTTAGGGAAACAAGGCACCAGGGAAGCCCTCATCACCTACAGCTTAAGAGAAGATGCAGTGAGAGGGCCCAGCTGGGGGCTGGAAGAACCATGCTCTTGGCTAAAAGGAAGGTTCTCTCACTCAACAGAAATAGGCCAGAGCCCAGAGCCTCAAGGATCTGAGCTGTGTTTGCCTCTTCACTCCTCCAGAACTGAAGGAGATCACCCCTTCTAGTGTGAGAATCCTTAAACTATCACTTCAAAGGACTGCCACAGAGTCTCTCTGAAATACTGCAATGACTCTAGAATCTTCCTTTACACCCTTACTTATCCCTAGTTCTTCTATGTATCCCAGTGTTTGACCATGACCGTCCTAGGAGAATGGAAGGCATGCTGGACTGGGAACCAGGCAGATCCATTTGACTTACCCACCTACCAGAGCCCTCCTATGTGGGAGGCAGTGCCCTTATAGCCACGGATATATTTTCTATAATTCTTACCTCTCTAAAAGAGGAAACTGGGGCCCAGCGTTGCTAAGTAACTTACTATTCAAGTCAGTAAGTGCAGGCATGAGAATTTTCTGGATTCCAAAGTTCTAGCTCTTTCCACACCAACATGCCGTGCTAACCCTACGCCTTTACTGGGAGACTTAGCTTATTCTGTCTCTTGCTAAAAGGCATTTACTGGTCTAGGCCGTGAGATATATTAGTGAACAAGACAGAGTCCTTGCTCTGCAGGAGTTGCTACGTCAGCAACAAACAGGCACACAGCTAAACCGTAAGATAGTTTGTTAAACACTATGAAGAAAATAAAACAGGGCACTTATTTTATTTTATGGGAATGTGCTGAAGAGAGAGCACATGAGTTGAATCCCAGCTGGGAAAAGAGGAAAAAAAACTGCTCCGAGCAGAGGCACAGACACAAACAAAGGTTGAGGGGCAGAAAAAGAGAAGTGTGGCAGGGACCAAGAGGGAGCAGGAAGATGTGAGCGGTGGTGTGAGGCCGGCCACACTGGGCCGCGTGGACCAGAGCGCGCAGTTTGTGTTTTATCCCGAGCCAGCGGGATGTCATTTGGAAGTTTTCAAGGAGGGATGTGACCTGAATCACACATCAAGTCTCTGTCTGTGGAGGAGGGACAGGCGTGGAAGAGGGTGAGCAGAGGCCGATGCTGGCAGCGGTCCAGCTGAGAGAGGGTATGGGGTGTGAGGGGGAAACCGGGCTTGTGTGGGAGGATGGGGTTTGAAGGTCGGGCTGCTGGGAATGACTGATGCATGGGTGTGAGCAAGGGAAAGAGAAGAATAGTAGAAGACTCCCGAGTGTTTGACTTGGATAGCAAGATGCAAGGGGTATTTGCTTCTGGGTTGGAAAGCCACGTTGTGGAGAGAGGGGCCGCTGGGGCTAGGTGGGCAGTGAATAGTTCTTCCTTGGTTATGAAAGTCTGACACGTCTATTAGACATCTAAGTGGAGATGCCGTGGACAAGGTTGCATATATACCCAAGTCTGGAGTTCAGAGAAGTGTTTCAGGCTGGAAACCAAACTTGGAGAGTCACTAGCTAGAGATGGTGGTTGATTGATGTTGCAGGGCAGCGTAAGGTCAGAGGAAATAGAGAGCAGGGAAGAGAGGAGGCCCAGAGACTAGGGTCTGGGCTGTCTCCGGTCACCCTAAGCTGCCGTTCATGCTCAAGGTGAGGGGACTGGTCCTGTTATTCCAGTGGGAGCCTGGAGGGCATTCTGGTGTAGAATACAGATGGGATGGGTGTGAAAGGAAAATAAATCTCAGACCCCAAATCACCAAGCCAAAGGGAAAAGTCAAGCTGCGAAACCCATCAGGCAAATCTGCCTCCCACTTTATTCCTGAACAAGATAGACAAAGATTAAAAAGTGACATGCCCCCCTCACAATTTTCCCACTAGGAGATTCCCTGTGGGGCTCAGGATCTTTACCCTGGAACAGTTTTGTTGGATTTTACCCTGACAATGTAAATTGCTAGCTTATCTTCACAGGTGCGGGACAAAGGACAGAACTCTAAGTCACTCTTGCTCACCTGAGACAAATGCATATCTGATGCTTCCTCTGATGTAAAAGTGCAGATTCACTGAGCTATGGAGGCATAGGTGGACTGTTTCCTCTGCCCATCTCTCACATGTAAGTTGTGTTCCGGTGAAAGACTGATCAAAGTCTGAGGAGAATGCAACCATTTGTCTCTTATCTACCCATACCCTTTTAAAAATTTCTTCCTCTTGACCGGTGCAATGGCTCATGCCTGTAATCCCAGCACTTTGGGAGACTGAGGCAGGTGAATCAGGAGGTCAAGGGTTCAAGATCAGCCTGGCCAAGGTGGTGAAACCCTATCTCTACTAAAAATACAAAAAAATTACCCGGGCTTGGTGGTGGGTGCCTGTAATCCCAGCTACTCACAAAGCCGAGGCAGAGAATTGCTTGAACCTGAGAGGTGGAGGTTGCAGTGAGCCAAGATCACACCACTGCACTCCAGCCTGGGTGACAGAGTGACACTCTGTTTCAAAAAATATATAAATAAATAAAATGTCTTCCTCTTTCTCCAATATTCACCCTTTCCCCTTTAAATATTAAAGCCCTCAAAATCATCTTTGGAGAAAGGCACAGGCCTGCCTCCTGGGGTCACATCCTTAACCTTGCCAAAATAAGCTTTCTAAATTGACTGAGATCTGTCTCAGATACTTTTGGTTTACATGGGTTCGGGCCAGAAGATTTCTTTGGCTAAAGTGATAGAGGGTAAGAAATCCTGAATGTCACTCATGAATGTTGCGTGCCCCATCCACACTGTTGGGTCATTTAACCATTCCTTTCTGAGCATCTGTAGCCACTGTAGAATGTCTGGGGGTGACCGTGATGGCCCTCAAGGAGTGAACAGCCTCTTTGAGGAGTGAGGAGAATACACAGAGGTAAAGAGGAATTGAAACAAGTATATGTTAACAAATACATGTAATCAGATTTTTCACACAAGACCAAAAAAGTCCCAGATGTCCCCTACCTAACCACTTGTAGGCTTTAAGGATCTGAAAATGGCAGGCCCTTGTCCTCTACAACCCACTCCTAGGGAAAATCCCACATGAGGTGCTCCACTCACACAAAGGATCCCCCCACAGGCACTGACCCCAGGAGTGTGTCCCTGCTTGGAACCTCCAGGGCTTCCCATTTGCTCCCAGGACTTGGCATTGTCACCCAATAGTCTGGACAGGGTTGAGCCATCCTCACACTGTGGGGTACAGTCCTGGCTGCCTCGGTGATTTTAAAATCAGCATAGTCCATAGCCTCTGGTGCCTGGGAGGGTCCTCCAGGTGGGGGTCCATGGGTTTAGTAGTGATGGCTAGTGTCTGGGCAAATTCCCAGGTGCAGCAGGGGACCACAGAGGGGAGGGAGATGTTCATCCAGAATGTCACTGCAGTGAGAGGATTTTATCAGTGTAATTTGGGAGACGATGTGTGGGAAATCTGTCTCTAAACGTGTTAACTGTTGTACAGGCATACGGAAAGAAAATAAATTATTTTGAGTCTAGCGAGGTTAGAAGTGCACAGAGAGCAACAAATTCAGAGTCAGATCCGGATTTCAGTCTTGCTTCTGATGTATGTTGGGTGTGAACCTCTCTGAGTCTCAGTTTCCTTGTCTGTAAATAAGGCCATTAACATCCATCATTCTGTACTCCAACCCAATATGCAAACACTTATCTTGTTTTCCGGCAGGTTCACCACCTTTCTTTCATGGATGGCGGGAAGGAGGCTGATTCACTGGAGGGTGCACTGTGTTTTACCCTGTTCTATGGAGGGAGTACCATGGAGCTCAGGCTTTGAGCCAGACTGCCTGAGTTCAAATCCCAGCTCTACATTTACTAGTTCTATGGCCTTGGACAATTTACCAAACTTGTCTGTGCTTCAGATGGCCTATCTGTAAAATGGGATGATGATCAGACTAGCTAAGTTACAGGGTCACTGGAAGGATTTAATGAGTTTTTGTAGATGAAATGCTTAGAACAGGGTCTGGCATGTAGGAAGTGTTTGATAATTGTTAGCTATTACTGCATGTTGGCTATGGGGCTAGCAGCATCTCTGAATACTCTGAGGGATGTCTAGGCTTGCACCTATCCTCTCCTGTCCTTCCATTCCCTCTTGGATGCAGAAGTCCCAGACAGAGCTCCAGCTGGCTAGGATGTGCGCCCTGATGCTTGTAGCTATTCTTTGCTCGAGAGTGGACCCTCTGGACTCAGCCATTTTGGTGGACTGATTACTAAGGCAGAAGCTTAGCAGACACTCTTACCCCCTCCCTGAGCTCATATCCCTAAGAAATGGATGTGTGTGGTATCTAGCAATTAAAAAATAAGTACAGCTAAGTTTCATTTTATGGCTTTTAGGGTCATGACAAGGGTTTTGAATACCCACACATCCCAGCTGTCCAGAGCTCTATGTCAAGTCAAACAGCTGAACCAAAATACCAAGTCCATGTCTGACATGGTCTGGCTGTGTCATCGCCCAAATCTCACCTTGAATTGTAGCTCTCATAATTCCCATGTGTAATGGGAGGTACCAGGTGGAGGTAATTGAATCACAGAAGTGTGTCTCTTCCAGGCTGTTCTCGTGAGAGTGAATAAGACTCACAAGATCTGATGGTTTTATAGAGGAGTTCTCCTGCAAAAGCTCTCTTGCCTGCCGCTATATGAGACATGCCTTTGCTTCTCTTTTGCCTTCTGCCATGATTATGAGGCCTCCCCAGCCATGTGGAACTGTGAGTCCATTAAACCTCTTTCCTTTATAAATTACCCAGTCTTGGGTATGTCTTTATTAGCAGCATGAGAACAGACTAATACAATGTCCATTCACGGACAAATGGAGAAACAAAATGTGACACAGCCACACAGTCAAATATATTTCACCCATAAAAAGGAATGATGTTGGCTGGGTGTGGTGGTTCACACCTGTAATCCTAGCACTTTGGGAGGCTGAGGTGAGTGGATCACCTGAGGTCAACTGTTTGAGACCAGCCTGGCCAACATGATGAAACCCTGTCTCTACTAAAAATACAAAAATTAGCTGGGTGTGGTGGGGGGCACCTGTAATCCCAGCTATTCTGGAGGCTGAGGCGGAAGAATCGCTTGAACCCAGGAGGCAGAGGGTGCAGTGAGCCAAGATCACGCCGATGCACTCCAGCTAGGCAATGAGAGCAAAACTCCATCTTAAAAAAAAAAATGAAGCTCTAATATACGGTAAATGTGATAAACCTTGAAAACATTATGCTATGTAAAAAAAGCCAGTCACAAAAGACCACATACTTTGTGACTCCGTTGATGTGAAATGTCTGGTGTAGGCAAATCCAGAGAGAAAGACAGTAGATTAAAAGTTGCCTGGAGGAGATGGGAAGACAGGAGGTGGGGTGATAGCTAAAGCATACAGACTTTCTTCTTTTTCAGTGATGAAAATGTTCTAAAATTGACAGTGGTGGTGGTTGCACAGTCTGTGAATATACCAAAAGCGATTTCCTTGTACACTTTAAATAGGTAACTTGTATGTAAATTATATCTCAATAAAACTGTTATTTAAAAAATTGTCAAGTCCTTACAGCCAGTCTGTTGGATTGTGGGCAGGAGGGACCAATGGAGGGAAATTGGCTTTCCTTCCATCTTCGTGACTTCCCTTCCCTCGTGCTCAGCACCCTCCACCCGCACACTCAGCGTTTCCCCGCTCCCAGCATGCCTTGCAGCTACAGACACATCTGAGAAGTCTCTTCCAACCCACCACTGAGAGGGCTTATAGGTCTGTGAAGAAGACAAAGTAAGTTTCATGTCAAGCATCCATGAAGGGTCTGGCTTGAGGGGGCAGTCAGTCCATGGCTGTTCACTTATTCATTCATTCAGTGAATATTTATTGAACACCTTATGGGCCTGACACTGGTCAGATGTGAGGATATAAAGATGAAGTTTCATGGTTTTAGAGCTCAAGGAGCTTCTACTCTAGTTGAAAGGCAGAAGACTTGTAACAAAACTATCAGAATGAAAGCAGGCCACTGCTGCAATTGGGAAATGCGTAACACTGCAACAGAAGCTCAGGAGAAGGGGTACTTAACTTGCTTGGGTGATCAGGAACACTTCACAGAGGAAGTGATGCTTATACAGAGTCTTGAAGGATGAATAACAGCTTGCTAGGAGAGAAGGTGGGCATGGAGGAGAAGGCAAAGGGCATGTTGTAGGCACAGGGGCTGGCTGGCACAGGCAAAGTGTCAAAAGCATGGAAGAGTATGGTGTCTACGGGAAGCTTTAGTTCATTTTGGTCTAAGCAAAAAGAAAGGTAGAGAAATTGAAAGATGTGGCTGTCTTGTCCAGAGTAAGGCATACACAAGTTATAATTCAGGCTCCAGATCTTATTACATGTATAGGTCTCTTGTTATTTATATATACATATATATATATATATATATATATATTTTTTTTTTTTTTTTTAGACAGAGTTTTACTCCACAAACCAGCAAACGCAGGCAGCCTCCAGAAGCTGGAAAAAGCAAGAAAATGGTTTCTTCCCTGGAGCCTCCAGAAGAAAAGCAGCCCTGCCAAAAACTTGATTTTAGTCCATCTTGAGCTTTTGACCTCCAGAACTCTAAGATAATAAGTTTAGATAGTACAAGTCACTAAGTTGGTGGTCATTTGTTACAGCAGCCATAGGAAACTAATACAGTCAGTCGGTCAAGTATTTGTAAGCACCCACGATGTGCTCTGAGTTCTGAGAATGTGGTGGGCAAGAAGAGAAAGTCACTGCTTATCACTGGAGCTCACATTCCAGTGAAGAGAGCTAGGCAGTCAATGAATAAGCAAGTGAATGTATGGCATGTGAGTGGTGCTAATATAGAGAGTGTCAGCCTCGACCTCTGCAAGGGAGGTCACAAGAGGCCTCCTGAGGAGGCAGAGGTGACATTGAGTTGAGGGTGCTATGATTGTGGAAGGACAGTATGAAATTTACAGCAGGAGCACCCAACTGGCCAGAGGCACCTAGGAAGACTTCCAGGAGGAAGTACCAACCTGGGCAAGCCTGCAAGGTAAGCAGAGCTGGTCGTTATTGCTGAGGGAGCTGCACAGGTGAGGAGTTCAAGGCCAGGGGAGACCCAGGGAATGACAAGTTCCAGCACGTAGGCATGCGTGCAAGATGAGCCAGAGTGTGCAAGGCCGCCTACGTTGGGACTCTAATCTAAGGGCTATCTGAGGTCATCAGAGGGTTATAAGCAAAGAGTAAAACCACAGATTTATTTTTGCAAGATGCCTATGGCTGTAGGGTAAGAAACATGTGGGCTGGTGGTCAGGAGTAGGCTTCAGGAGGTGGAGAGCCCAGTCTGGAGGCCGCTGCCATCGTCATGGAAGGTAAAAAAGGAACAAGTCCGCAACTATAAAACGATACCACCACCTGAAGAAGGTGCATCCTGGCTCCAGAAGATCTTTTCACCGGGCTGAGCTTCTTGTGGTGTCTGGATCAGCCAAGGGAGCAGGGAGCTGCATTTGGGAAGAGTGAGTGTGGAGGAGAGCAGGAGCAAGGAGAGCTAAGAAAGGGCTGGCCCCTTCCAGGGTGAAGTGGCAAGAAAGAAACCTCAGGCAATGGGATGGCTGAAAGGCCTGTGAGGATCGGGATCTCAAACCCTTGACTTAGAATTGTTAGTGTGTGGTGTCAGCATGACCTCTTCATGTAATCTGCAGACCTTCCGTGAAAGTTGAACTGCGCGCAGCAGCCTTTCATTTGTGGGTGCATTTTAAACATGTAGAGTGAGAATCAAGAGTGTAGCCCACATTTAGAGGAGGAAAGGAATAGCTTCGAGATGTGGAGTTTATTGAATGAACTACTCAATAGATATTAATGAGGCCCTACAACATGCCAGGCTCTAGGGATTCATTGGAGCAGAGCAGACGACGCTCCCTCCTTATAAGACAGTGGAGAAAAGGGATTCAGCAGAGGCAGAAAACTGGGCCCAGTAGTGACCATGAGCAGGTAAGTCCATCTGAAAATCAGTAGAGATCTTAAGGATGGCTTGGATCCACAAGGTTGGAGTCAATATTCTGTTGATTTCAGGAGTCTTTAAAACGAGAGAGGATGATGACCTGGATGCAGGTATGCTTAGTGGAGGGGAGGCTATTGATAGCACTCAAAAGCAGTTTAGGAGGAAGGACTGACCAGAACTGGGAACTGACAAGTGGGGGCAGGGAGGAGTCAAGATGATGCCCAGATTTCTGGCTCTGGCTTCTGGGTGGAGAGGAATATCATTTACAGAGGGGGGAGCCCAGGGGAGGAGCAGAACTGGAGGAGTGCTCAGAAAGGGTGAGCTGTCAGAGCAGAGGGCCCAGGGCAGGCCCTGAAGCACCTACTTGGGATTTGTGGAGTCAGATGAACCTAAGGGTGAATCTTGGCTCAAATTACAAGGCGATGGCAGAGCCGGAAGACAGGGAGGGTGAGTGAAGGCTGCAAAGGAGATGGAGAGGGTGCTGGGATGAGGACACAGAAGCCAGCAACAGCTCAGGGGATTACACACAAACATTTTTGTCTTCTCTTTCCATTTCCCACAAGCAGGCGTGCAGAAGCAGAGGTGCCAATCAAACTCAACCTTGTCAGCCTCTGAACAGCTCAGGTTTTTTTTTTTTTTTGAGCAAAGGGGAAGAGTGGGAAAGAAGTGTCTCTTCACAGCTGGCATGGGTGATTTAGATGGATTCACTCACCTGGGCCAACAAGTAAATGTACAATTTGTTACTCTCCAAGGTAAGTTCAGAATCTCCCTGTCATGCGGTACTCTCACGTTGGTTAGTTCAATAATAAAACTGACTTCACTGAGAGCTCCTCTGAGTCTGAAGGGTAGCTGGGTTCCAGGGAGCCACCCTTCCAGGGTTGCCTGGAGTCCTGGGGTATGTTACAGCCACCTGGAGGCCCACACAAGTACCCTTCACTAGGGGCCATTCCTGCATCCCAGGCAGGAGTCAAGTGACAGTGTGATTGTGTGTGTGTGTCCTGGGGTCTGGGACACTTGTCCTTCAGGCTGCAGCAGGAAGCCAAGGCATGCCTTCTAAGATTAGAACAAGTTTCCCAAGGACCCGGCTCCCAGCCTGCATCCCGGTCAGCTGCAGCCTCTCCTGTTACAGCGTCTCCCAAACCCGCCTCCCTTGCTGTCAGGAGGGAGCACAGTTCTGAAGCTGACTCTCAGCAAGGGGCCCCTCAGGAAGCTCTGCAGTTGGGCCACCATGAGCAGGACATGGTGCAGGGCCCTCTGGTCCCTGCACTTGCAAGCCTCACAAGGGGGTACTGGAGGGAGAGAGGAGAGGAGCATCAGTCACATTTTTGCATTTGACTTATGGATCCAGGTCACATGCAGAAGAAATCAATGATGATAATTCAGTAGCTGCGGCATCCTGAGCACCTAGCACATGCCGGGCCATCTGCGTGCATGCTCATGGTTAAAGTATGTAACATAACCCAAAGAGGAAGCCACTTTGCCTAGTATCCCTACTTGACTGAGGAGACTGAGGCAGAGAGAGGTTAAGTATAGCTTGTCCAAAGTTGTACAGAGTGAGCAGTGGTGGGAATGTTTTCTGGAGTCACTCGGGAGTATTTGCTCAGAACTCTCTAATCAGGCCCATAAATGAATAGTTTCATGTCAAGTGAAAAGAGCAGATGAGGCAAGGGCTATACTGGAGACCAGAGGAGGCTCTGCCTGCTGCAAATACTTATAATTTCTGATGGTTCCCAGGCCCATTCTCAGAGGCTCAGGGGTGGCCTTGAAGTGACATGTCAGACAGGTTCAAGCACGCCCAGAGTACGGCCTAGGGCTTGTCCTGCAGCGGCCAACAGGGCTTGGCTCACATTATTAAAGCAGTGGCAGAACAGGAAGCTAAGAAGAAAAATGAACATTTTCCACTTTAATCAGTCTTTATCTGCACCGGTGGTCTTACATGGACGCTCGATCAAATTGCCTATTATTATTTGTCCGTGATCCCTCGAAAATTCTGGATAGCCCTATTATCCATAAATCAAGGCGTTTCCAGTGTTTAGATGTCACAGTCATTAGATTATTAGAAAACATGAAGAAACTTTTTCATGCACATTATTTACTTACTTAATCCTTGACTGTACTTGGAATTAATGCATGGGGGAAGTGTCCAATTTGGAGGCGGAAGAAAAATAACTGGATTCAGAAGAACATTAGAAGAAGTTTTTATAAATTATTGAATTCTGTTTAACTACATTTGCAAAACACTACACATTTAACTATATTCATATCTGTTTAACTACATTTTCAAATGCTACACAAAGTTCTAGAAAGATCTGTGGGTGCCTAGATGTAGAGAGAGCACAATCTGAAAACCTGACATCTGAGTTTCCTTCAAGCACAGTTTCATCCTGGGCACTTCCAGAAAACCCCTGTGAAGCTCCCCTTGCCCGCCATGCACGCTCCCCCAGTCAGGCAGAACTGGCAGCTCCCTCTTTCTTTTTAGTATATCTTGGACATACTCATTCATTCATTATTTCTGTGCTCCAGGCCCTGCTCAGGATATGGGAATGAACAAAATCAAAAGGGTCCTTTCATAATGGAGGTTACAGTCTGTAGGGGAGACACATATTCCATAGCTGTTATTATTTTAACTCCAGCTTATTATTTATTAGGGTGATAAATGCTGCAGAGGAAAGGGTTCTAAGAGAGCGTGTGACAAGAAAATCTGACCCAAAGATGTGCCATTTAAACTGAGATAAGTAGAAGTGATCCAAGCAAAGTGTGAGGTTTGAGGGGTGAGGAGGGTTAGTGAGAGGGTGGGCAGAGGGAGCCAAGGGCATTCCAAGTAGAGTTTACACAAAAGCCTCCTGGAGGAGAGACAGGAGGTGTTTGAGGAACTCAGAGAAGGTGCGGCTAGAACTCAGAGAGGTTTTTTTTTTTTTTTTTTGAGATGGAGTCTCACTCTGTCGCCCAGGCTGGAAAGCAGTGGCAAAATCTTGGCTTTCTGTAAACTCCACCTCCCAGGTTCAAGAGATTCTCCTGCTTCAGCCTCCCAAGTAGCTGGGATTACTGACGCCCATCACCACTCGAGACTAATTTTTGTATTTTTAGTAGAGATGGAGTTTCACCATGTTGGCCAGGCTGGTTTCCAACTCCTGACCTCAGGTGATCCACCCACCTTGGCCTCCTAACATGTTGGAATTACAGGCATGAGCCACTGCACCCAGCCTGAGAGCTTTTAAAGTACCCACACTTTTGCATGTTTTTCTCTTTCTACTGAAATTGCTGAGCACAGAGACCATGTCTTATTCATGGCCCCATGCCCTAGACCATAGTAGGTACTCAGTAAATGCCAGTAAATGAATGAATGAATAAATGAATGATGCCTCTGTAAACCCACACCACTGGGCCAACATTGTGAGGGCTTGATAAATATAGATGAAGACTTGAAGTGAAAATGGAAAGAAAGAGTCATCAGGGAGGCTCTGAGCACACCAGCTTTGAATATTCTCATTAAGGTTCAGTGACTTGTCCAAGCTCTCTAAAATGGTAACCAGAGGGCAAAGAATGAGGCTCTCTCCTGGCCAAGCCATTACTTAACAGTCTGAGCCTCCCGTCTCTACCTGAAGCAATGAAATCTAATATAATTCCCTATCTCTATGCATGGGTATCTGTCTTCTTCAGTTTTAGCAACCCAACCTATCCTAGAACAGGACACATAGAAAATACTTAAAATCTCTTTCTTTATCTAGAGTAGTTGAATATATCTGTTGGCTGCTTGATATTTTCAGATCCATTTCAGCAAGGAGAAAATTTGAGGAAAAGAAAGGTATAATGCAGAAGGTAGAATTAATGTATTATGAATATAGTAGAGCAGTGTCTGCCCCAGGATCCGAAGTCCCCATCTCTGGTTTGGTCTCAGTGTCTGCCTTCAGTCACCAAGGGAGAAGCTCCATGCCTCCAGGCTACCTCCAAGGGCTCCTCTGCTGCCCAGGGATGCTCAAGGCAGGAGTCACAGTCTCTAGTATATCAAGAGACTAGTATATCAAGTATATCAAGGCCCCATCTAAAGCATGGGGTAGGCTTTCCCCTCCCCTGAAGCCTACTCAGCTACAATGGGACCAAAGGGGTCTTGGTGCTGACTTTTTAAAATAAACTTTTCCATCTCCTCTCACCAACCCGCTACAAAAAGGGAAAAGCAACAAAAGCCATCCAGCTGAGTTGAGTTGAGTCACTTGAAAGTTCTATTGCAGAGGGGTCCAGTCTTTTGGCTCCCCTGGGCCACCGTGGAAGAACTGTCTTAGGGCACACATAAAATACACTAAAAAAAAAATCCCATAATATTTTAAGAAAGTTTATTAATTTGTGTTGGGCCACATTCAAAGCCATCCTGGGCTACATGTGGCCTGTGGACCGTGGGTTGGATAACCTTGTTATATTGGGTTTTACAGAGCAAATCAGCTAGGCTCCTGGCATGGCAGGGAAGATTGTTGGGTGTTCAGCTTGCAGAGGCTTGCTGCTGGCCAGCCCTCTCTCTTCCACCCACCTTTTGGGTTGATTCATGGTTACTGTCCCCTCCCAGGGCTGATGGAAAGCACTCCAGGGCAGCGGTCCCATGAGAGTTCAGATTTGTGTGTGGGGAGTGGCTGCGGGGCACTCAAATCCCCTCTGTAACCAGCATCATCGGCATACTCAGGAATTCTCTCTACATTTCCTTCCTGCTCAATGTCCCTCTTTAGAAACTGGTTTTTGAATTAGTAATACTAGGCTTTTGCAATGCATTTTTCAACAAAAATAAAACAGCTAATTTACTGAATGTTTATTGTGCCAGGTACGGTGCTAAGATGATCTCATTTAATCCCTGAGACACCTCTGTGACATGGATTCGTAATTACCTCCGTTTTACTGATGAGATAATTGAGACTCAGCTCAAGTAACTGGTTGTCAGTTGTGAAGCTATGGATGGGAGATCTGGGACCCATGCTCAGATCGTCTGTTAAAGTCTGTGCTCCCAAGCACAACACCACACTGCCTCCAGCAGGAAAAGTATTTGAGAGTTTACATTTTGGGGTTAAAAAGTGCTTATCTGGCCAGGCACGGTGGCTCACACCTGTAATCCAAGCAT